TTATCATCAAACTCCCCTGGTTGTTCCCTCTCCTTGATCGCCACTGATGCCTCTATTTTCCGGGTTGATGGTATCAATATGCGTGTGAGATTCGAGTCCGTCTACACCATGAACAAGCAGATGATAATGCAGCACTCCCCATCTACTACTGCTACTATTACCTTCGCCTCTATGCCCTGTGCATGCAGCCAGTGTTGTAAAGCATTAACCTCTTTATCACGATTGTCACCAAGCGTAATCTCCAAGCCTTGGATACCACCCCCAGGCAACTGAGCATGCAGCAACCACTGAGACCTATACCACTCCTCCTCCTACTCCTTACTGCTCTAGCTCCTCCATCATCAGCTCCTCCCGAGTATCGATCCATATCCTCACGCTTACCCATGCCACTCTGGTACTTGGAGGAGCTTTCCAGCCAATGGAAGGCATCACACAGCGGTGGCAAGGCCCTAGAAAAAGCAGCGTCGGGGAGGAGGAGGACTCGCAAGAACCATAAGGGGCACTCACCCATGGCCTCTCTGACGCTCAGACTCAAGGCCGCGTATGATCCGAATAAGCATCGATCGGACAGCTCTAGCCTGGGGCGGCTGATCACCTGCAATAGGCCTTCAGCAATCAGCGATGATGGAGCCTAGCATTACACTTGACCAGTACATGTATCCTCGCCTCGGTATCGAAGTGCCTCAGATCAGGCATCTCTTCCGCGCCTCCACCTGATCCATCAGGACCATTATACCATCATCGCACTCCTACTACTGCTACTCACCAACACTACCGTCCTTCATACCCATCCCTCGGAAGTATATACGGCTCTGTGTGGCCGACTCCATCTCCTTATGATTCTGGCCTGACCACCCACCCAACTGCCCATCTCACTACCCCTGGCAGACCCACCTCTCGAGCCCACGATGGCCCTAACAGCATCGCGACCAAGCATGCCCGCACCCAACAGCTCATCGAGGAAGATACGTTCAATCCACTTGTACTTCTGGTCAGGGAGTATAGGAGGCGGCGTTGACGGGAGTACCTATAACAGGAATATGACCCCACAGATCTGCTTCAGACACCTACTGGCTTGATACTCCCAGTAGAAACACTAGCCTCAT